TCACCACCATCTTCACCATCACACACACACACCATCATCACCATCACACACCATCATCACCATCAAACATACATCATCTACACACGTTACACCATAACACACACACACTATCATCACCATCACACACCACATCACACCATACACACACACACACATCACTATCACATACACACCATCATCACCATTACACACACACCATCATCACCATCACACACACACCATCATCATCACCATCACACACACACACACACACACATCACTAACACATACACCATCATCACCATCACACACACACACACACACACACACACACACACACACACACACCATCATCACCATCACACACACTACACCATCACACACACACGCACACCATCATCCCATCACACACACCATCATCACCATCACACTACACCATCTCACACACACACACCATCATCACATCACACACACACCATCATCACCATCACATACATTACCATCCACACACCATCATCACCATCACACACCATCATCACCATCACACACACTACACCATCACACACACACACACCATCATCACCATCACACACACACACCATCATCACCATCCACACACACCATCACACACACACACCATCATCACCATCACACACCATCATCACCATCACATACATTACACCATCACACACACCATCATCATATCACACACACTACACCATCACCACACACACACACACACCATCATCACCATCACACACACACCATCATCACCATCACACACACTACACCATCACACACACACCATCATCACCATCACATACTACACCATCACATACATTACACCATCACACACACCCCATCATCACCATCACACACACACTACACCATCACACACACACCATCATCACCATCACACACACCATCATCACCATCACACTACACCATCACACACACACACCATCATCACCATCACACACACCATCATCATCTCACATCATTACACATCACACACACCATCATCACCATCACACACACCATCATCACCATCACACACACCATCACACACACACCATCATCACATCACACACCATCATCACCATCACCATTCACCATCACACACACACACCATCATCACACACACACACACAATCATCACCTCACACACACACACACACATCATCACCATCACACACACACACACACACCATCATCACCATCACACACACTACACCATCACACACCATCACACACACACCATCATCACCATCACACACACACTACCTATCCACACTACACCATCTACACACACCATCATCACCATCACACACTACATCATCACACACTACACCATCACACACACACTACACCATCACACACTACCATCCACACACACACACCATCATCCCATCACACACACACACACCATCATCACCATCACACACACACACACCATCATCACCATCACACAATACACCATCACACACACTACACCATCACATACATTACACCATCACACACACACGTTACACCATCACCATCACACACTACACATCAACAGCACCGTTTAGATGAGGTGTTTACACTACCGGAGGCTGTATCCCACTGCTGCCCTTCTGTACACTGTTGTGCCTCCTCCTTTATGTTGCTTGTGCACTGCACTCTGTAGGCTCTATAGTACTGTTATATTATGTAGGCTGTGTAGTACTGTTTACATAGTTGTGCAGTACTGTACATTACAGGCTGTGGTACTGTTTACTGTGGCTGTGAGTGCTGTTTAATGTGGGCTGTGGTACTGTACATTACAGGCTGTGTACTGTACATTACAGGCTGTGGTACTGTTTACACTGTGCTGTGTGGTACTAGGGGTATTTTACATTACAGGCTGTGTGGTACTGTTTACACTGTAGGCTGTGTAGTGCTGTGTTTACGGCTGTGGACTGTACATTACAGGCGTGTGGTCGTCTGTGTGGTCTTACATTACAGGCTGTGTGGTGCTGTACATTACAGGCTGTGTAGTGCTGTTTAACACTGTGGGCTGTGTACTGACTGGGCTGTGTGGTACTGTACATTACAGGCTGTGTAGTACTGTTTACACTGTAGGCTGTGTAGTACTGTACATTACAGGCTGTGTAGTACTGTACATTACAGGCTGTGTAGTACTGTACATTACAGGCTGTGTAATTTACTTAGCTGTGAGTTACACACAATGTTATGTTCACCTGTAGGTTGTGTAGTACTGTAATACACTGTAGGCTGTAGTACTGTTTACACTGTAGGCTGTGTAGTACTGTTACTATAGGATGTGTAGGTATAACACACACACACACACACTGTACAAACACAGTACATATACACACACACACACACACACACACACACACACACATATACACACACACACAGGTTTACACACACACACACACACACACACACACACACACAGGTTTACACACACACACACACACACACACACACACACACACATATTACAAACACACAGGTTTACACACACACACACAAAGGTACACACACACACACACACACACACACACACACACACACACACACACACACACACACACACACACACACACACACACACACACACACACAAGCACAACATACATTCGTCTCCTCTTCTCTGACAAACCCATTGACCTCTCACCTCAGGCGTTGCCTTTGGGGGCGGCAGGGGCTGTGGGGGGCAGGGGGCTGGTGGGCAGGCAGGGCAGGGGCTGGTGGGCGGCAGGGGCTGGTGGGTGGAAGAGGGGCTAGTGGGTGGCACAGGCATGGGCGGCAGGGGCTGGTGGGTGGCACGAGGTGGGTGGCAGAGGAATGGGTGGCAAGGGCTGGTGGGTGGCACAGGGGCTGGTGGGTGGCACAGGGCGTTAGCTGAGTGGGTGGCACGGGGGCTGGTGGGTGGCAGGGGCGTAATGGGCGGAAAGGGGGAGCTGGTGGAGTGGCACAGGGGAAACTGTGGGTGGCAGGGGGAGCTGGTGGGTGGCACGAAACCAGTGGGTGGCACGAGGCTGGTGGGTGGCACAGGCTGTGGGCGGAAGGGGCTGGTGGGTGGCACAGGCTTCTGTGGGTGGCAGGGCTAATGGGTGGCACAGGGCTCTGGTGGGTGCTTTGAGGAGCTGGTGGGTAGCACCCAGGCATGGGTGGCACGGGGAGGCTAATTAGGTGGCACAGGGGCTGTGGGCGGAAGGGGGCTGGTGGGTGGCACAGTGATGGCTGGCAGGCGGAAGGGGGCTGGTGGAGTGCTGAGGGCTGTGGGTGGAAGAGGCTGGTGGGCAGCACAGGGGCTGTGGGCGGGCTGGTGGAGCGGCAAGGCTGTGGGCGGAAGGGGGGAGCTGGTGGGTGGCACCAGGGGCTGTGGGTGGAAGGAGCAGCTGGTGGGCGGCTTGAGGAGGCTGTGGGGCGGAAGGGGGAGCTGGTGGAATGGCACGGGAGCTGTGGGTGGCACAGGCTGTGGGTGGCAGAGGCTGGTGGTGTGGGAGATTTTGGGTGGTAGGCAGAGATTTTGAGCTGGCGGAGGGTGACAGGAGAAAAGGTTTTTAAGGGTGGCAGGGGGAGTCATGGCAGAGCAAGTTTGGGTGTGGCAGGGGGGAATCATGGCAAGCAATTTGGGTGGCAGAAGAGAGGTGGCAGGGGTGTGACAGGCTGGTTTTGGGTGGCAGGGGTGACAGGCTGGTTTTGGTGGCAGGGGGATGTGGCAGGCAGGTTTTGGGTGGCAGGGGGTGTGGCAGGCAGGTTTTTGGTGGCAGAGGGATGTGGCAGGACGATTTTGGATGACAGGAGGGTGTGGCAGGAGAGGTGTGGGGTTATCAAGAGAGTGGATGTTAAGGGCTGACGCTTTATGGGCTGACACAACGTAGTCTGACAGAATGGGGGCTTAGTCAGGGAGGGCTGACACATTAATGGCTGACACAATGACTGAAGCAATGAGGACTGACACAAAAGAGACGAACTTATGGAGAGAGAGAAGAGAAGAAAGAGAGTGAGAGGCGAAGAAAGGAACTCGCAGGGTTAACAGTATTAGCCCACCTATTGACGTCACACAAGGATCAAACGAGCCTTTCCTCAGTCACAAAAACCCGCTGACGGTGCCTAACCCGACCGGACCCAACCCAACCCGACCAACCCGACCCGACCTGATTGGATCCTGAGAATTCAATCTCCCTTCAAGAAAATTATTTAAATTTACATTTTCTGACCCGGAAAAATAAAAAAAATACGATTGATTCGCGGTGTGCAGAAAGTGATATAAAGTGTCTCTTCATGTTGGTACTCCTGATACATCTAGAGGTTATGTTAATAATAATAATAATAATAATTAACGGTTTATTGAAAGAGCATAGCTGCCAGAAGGCTGAAAATATACAGTTGCATAATTGAGGAATGGGTTTCGATTTACAAATTATATACAAGTAACATAAGTGATACACATAAGATATATTATAACTGGATGAGGAAAAGCTCAAACTATAGAGCATTTCAACATAGTGACAGTGCAAGAAGTAGTGTTTACTGGGAGTGAATACACTGGTTTATTACAAGTTATTGATAATTTTTACAATGGTTGGGACTGGGCTGTTCTTATAGCGACCAGTTCGTGCACGTATGGGCTGGATGCGGTTGTGGTGTCGAACAGCAATTCTCGGGCTAGGGATCTCAGGTGGTAGTAGGAGCCGGTGTCGAGGATGGTGCAGAAGCTTCTTACCAAATTTGCAGATGAGGTCGTGGTGATGGTGAGAGTCGAAAGGGTCAGTGTGTTGAGCGTTTCTTGATATGTGGAGTAGGAAGGGGAGAGAATAATCTTGCATGCCCTCTTTTGCACTTTTTCTAGGTGTTTACGTTGTGTGGCATTTAGGGAGGAAGACCAGGTAGGGGAGGCATAGGTGAGCTTGGGAAGTATGAATCTTGAGTAAACACTGAGGAGCTCGGGCGCAGGAACTCCGAGGGACTTGAGTCCCTGATACATCTAGAGGTCATGTTGGTACTCCTGATACATCTAGAGGTCATGTTGGTACTCCTGATACATCTGGAGGTCATGTTGGTACTCCTGATACATCTAGAGGTTATGTTGGTACTCCTGATACATCTAGAGGTCATGTTGGTATTCCTGATGTATCTAGAGGTCATGTTGGTACTCCTGATACATCTAGAGGTTATGCTGGTACTCCTGATACATCTAGAGGTCATGTTGGTACTCCTCATGTATCTAGAGGTCATGTTGGTACGCCTGATACATCTGGAGGTCATGTTGGTACTCCTGATACATCTAGAGGTCATGTTGGTACTCCTGATACATTTAGAGGTCATGTTGGTACTCCTGATGTATTTAGAGGTCATGTTGGTATTCCTGATGTATCTAGAGGTCATGTTGGTACTCCTGATACATCTAGAGGTTATGTTGGTACTCCTGATACAACTAGAGGTCATGTTGGTACTCCTGATGTATCTAGAGGTCATGTTGGTATTCCTGATGTATCTAGAGGTCATGTTGGTACTCCTGATACATCTAGAGGTTATGTTGGTACTCCTGATACATCTAGAGGTCATGTTGGTACTCCTGATACATCTAGAGGTCTTGTTGGTACTCCTGACACATCTAGAAGTCATGTTGGTATTCCTGATACAACTAGAGGTCATGTTGGTACTCTGATACATCTAGAAGTCATGTTGGTACTCCTGACACCTACCTGACATATGTGGCCCCCTGATGCACCTGGCCCTGACTCACTTGGGCCCCCTGACACACCCCTCAACACACCTTGGCCCTGCACTTGGCCCTGATACACATTGGCTGACACACCTTCCCCCTGACACACCTGGCTCCCTGACGCACCTGGCCCCCTGACGCACCTGGCCCCTGACTCATGGGCCCCTGACACACCTGGCCCTGAACACCTTGCCTCATAACACCATCTGTGAGGAATTACTACACCACGTGAGGCCCCTCATAACACCATCTGCGAGTGCTACACCACGCCAGGTCCCTCATAACACCATCTGAGGGAACTACTACACCACGTGAGTTCCTCCTAACACCATCTGGGAGGGAGTTACTACACTACGACTGCTGTTTAACACCTACAATAATCTGTATGTTCACTGTATGTTCCTTTACCTTTCTCTAATGAAGGCTTTTGTTAAACCACCAATGTATGTAATAAGTCATTTATGTCCAATGTATATTTTCAGCCTTCGGCTGCAAATTTTTCAATAAACCGTTAATTATTATTATTATTATTATTATTACACCTGGCCCTAATACACATTGGCCCCCTGACACACCTGGCCCCCCTCACACACCTGGCCCCTGACACACTTGGGCCCCTGACACCCTTGGCCCCCTGACACACCTGGCCTCTGACACACCTGGCCCCTGGCACACCTGGCCCCCTACTTGACCCCCAACACCTGGCCCCTGACACACCTGGCCCCTATTTTGGCCCCCTGACACCTGGCCCCCTGACACCTTGCCCCCCTGACACACCTTGCCCTCTGACACACCGCCCTGACACACCTGGCCCCCTGACACATCTGACCCCTGACACACCTGGCCCCCTGACACACCTGGCCGTGAATTGGGGAAACGTTGTAAGATTTTCGACTTATGAGATTTTCCCAGCAGCTCCTGTCACCCGCTGTGTTGCTGTGATTGTACCAACCACACAAACACCACTACACAAACACACCACCACACAAACACACCACCACACAAACACCACTACACAAACACCACCACAAAACAACACCACACAAACAACACCACAAACACCACTACACAAACACCACTACACAAACACCACTACACAAACACACCACCACACAAACACCACTACAACACAAACACCACCACACAAACACACACCACAAACACACCACCACACAAACACACCACCACACAAACACCACCACACAAACACCACCACACAAACACCACAAACCACCACCACACAAACAACACCACTATACAAACACCACCACACAAACACCACCACACAAACACACCACACAAACACCACCACACAAACACACCACCACACAAACACACCACTACACAAACACACCACCACACAAACAACACCACTATACAAACACCACCACACAAACACCACCACACAAACATCAAGCTTCTCCTTCAGTTTGGTTTAAGATGTAATCAATACAAGATCAATACCGTGTGTGTGTGTGTGTGTGTGTGTGTGTGTGTGTGTGTGTGTGTGTGTGTGTGTTAATCTTGCTAACACACTGTGGCTGTTTTACTGGTCCTGATTACCGTGAGAGAGAGAGTAAAACTTGTCGTTGAGAAAGATGAATAAAGAGACAGAGAGGAAGAGGAGGAGAGAAAAAGGGCAAAGGTGGAGGAAAATACAGAGAAGAGAGGGAATAACAACATAGAGATAAGAGGAGAAAGAGTGTAACAGAAAGACACAGACAGACAGAGACAGACAGACAGACGGAGATACAAGCAAACAGACAGACGCCAGGAACCTCCGAGAGACCACCTCAGTGTAGTGACTAAGTGAACCAATTAGAATGAATCTCTTGTTTACAGTTTAAGAGGAACATTTTTAACCTAAGAGCTTTTAAGAACCCACAAAGTCTTATACAATCTCTTACCTTAATTAAATTGTATCTATCTATCTATCTATCTATCTATCTATCTATCTATCTATCTATCTATCACAAAGTCAAGGGAGGTGGTGGAAGGGCGAGTGTAGAAAGTGGCAGTAAAATGCTAAGAAAATACAGGTATCAGAAAATATTTGTCTATCGTTTGAACTAACACACACACACACACACACACACGCACACACACACACACACACACACACACACACACACACACACACACACACGTCCCACTGAAGGGAAAATAAAATTGCGTGGAGGATGATCGGAGGTCGGATTCTCTTCCTCCCTGAGTCGCTCTCAGCTTAATGGCAACACCTCCGTAATCTGACTCAGAAAGCTGACTCGGTAAGCTGATTTTCTCTGGGTTTGAGTTTGTGTCTTGGGTCTGTAAGCCGAGTGAGAGAGCCATGTCAGGACAAAGACATGTTTAAGCTTTTAACAAGAAACTTTAAGCTTGAACCAAGAACTTTAAGCTTAATTAGAAACTTGAAACATCTAACATGGAACTTTAAGCTTTAAGAAAGAGCTTTTTTTTAGAATTAGGTTTAAGCTGTAATATTAAGCTGTATTGTGAGACCTGCTGACAGTGGCCTCGCTTAATCTGACATTCAGACCTGACACTCAAGAGGGCAACATTTCAACATAACATTTACGGGGTATTGAAAATGTCGTCAGCAATGTTAAGTGTTTAATGTTTTCTTTTATAAACAGAACGCTGACACTGAACGCTGACACTGAGCTGACGGTGCTGATTGTACCCCTCGAGTTTCTCCTCTTCAATACGACGAATTAACACCTTGAATGCGATGATTTAAACCCTTTTGAGTACGGTCATAACCCTTTGAGTACGGTCATAACCCTTTGAGTACGGTCATAACCCTTTGAGTACGGTCATAACCCTTTGAGTACGGTCATAACCCTTTGAGTACGGTCATAACCCTTTGAGTACTGTCATAACCCTTTGGAGTAAGTCATAACCTTTGATACGGTCATAACCTTGAGTAAGGGTCATAACCCTTTGAGTACGGTCATAACTCTTTGGTGGTCACTGGCAGCAGGTACTGTCACCAACCCTTTGTGTATGGTCACTGGCCAACTCTGGTACCAGTCATAACCCTTTGAGTAAGGTCACAATTCTAGGGTACTACGATTTAACCTTGAGTTAGGTTTACGTATGGTTAATTTAGGTTAGATTAGAGTTAGATTAGGTTAAGTTAGGTTAGCTTAAGTTAGGTTAGATTAAGTTAAGTTAGATTGAATTAGGTTATATTAAGTTAGGTTAGATTGATTAGGTTAGATTAAGTTAGGTTAGATTAAGTTAGATTAGGTTAAGTTAGTTAACTAAGATTAGGTTAAGTTAGGTTAGATTAAGTTAAGTTAGATTAAGTTAGGTTAGATTAGAGTTAGATTAGATTAAGTTAGGTTAAATTAAGTTAGATTAGATTAAGTTAAGGTTAGATTAGAAGTTAGGTTAGATTAAGTTAAGTTAGATTGTTAAGGTTAGATTGAGGTTAGGTTAGATTAAGTTAAGTTAGAGATGAGAGATTAGGTTGAATTAAGTTAAAGTTGGATTGAGATTAGGTTAAGATTAAGTTAGGTTAGATTAAGTTAGGTTAGATTAAGTTAAGTTAGATTAAGTTAGGTTTAGATTAAGTTAAGTTAGATTAGGGTAGGTTAGATTAGAGATTTAGGTTAGATTAAGTTAGATTGGGTTAAGTTAGGTTAGCTAAGTTAGATTAGGTTAAGTTAGTTAGATTAAGTTAGTTAGATTAAGTTAGGTTAGATTAAGTTAGATTGAATTAAATTAGGTTAGATTAAGTTAAGTTAGATTAAGTTAGGTTAGATTAAGTTAGGTTAGGTTAAGTTAGGTTAGCTTAAGTTAGATGGTTAAGTTGAGGTTAGATTAAGTTAAGTTAGATTAAGTTAGGTTAGATTAAGTTGGGTTGAATTAAGTTGGGTTAGATTAAGTTGGGTTGGATTAAGTTGAGATTGAGTTAGGTTAGGTTAGCTTAGGTTGAATTAGGTTAAGTTAGAGTTGGATTAAGTTAGGTTAGATTAAGTTGGTTGAATTAAGTTGGATTAGTGAAGTTAGGTTGTTAAGTTAGATTGAGTTAGAATTGGGTTAGATTAAGTTAGGTTGGATTAGTTGGGTTAGATTAAGTTAGATTAGATTAAGTTAGGTTAGATTAAGTTGGGTTAGATTAAGTTAAGTTAGTTAAGTTGGTTGGGTTAGGTTAGATTAGATTAAGTTGGGTTAGATTAAGTTAGGTTAGATTAAGTTAAGTTAGATTGTTAGGTTAGATTAAGTTAAGTTAAATTAGGTTAAGTTAGGTGTTAGTTAGATTAGTTAGGTTAATTAAGTTAGTTAGTTATTAGGTTAGATTAAGTTAAGTTAGGGTAAGTTAGGTTGGGGTAAGTTAGGTTAGATTAAGTTAAGTTAGATTAAGTTAAGTTAGTTTAAGTTAAGTTAGGGTAAGTTAGGTATCCTGTATGTCGTTAACAGTCCGATAAAACAAAAATAATCCTCAACCATAGTAAGTATATAAGGTCGAGCTATCGGGACACTGCACCGATAAAGATGAAACACCGATAAATGACAGCGAAATGTTGGCTCTGGGGACCGTCTTGTTAATATTCCGATATCGTAACGTTATCCTGACGAAAACTAAACTTGAGAACCTTTGAGAATTTCCCTCTTGGTCAAATACTGAGAGATACTTCATGAGATAAAATTATCTCTCTCTCTCTCTCTCTCTCTCTCTCTCTCTCTTAATGGCCATTTTTCCAAGGCGTTTTATGTGAATAATTTAAAAGTTAGGTAAGTTAAATACGATTCAAACGTCACAAGTTACAAGAGAAAATTTAACATTCTTACGCTTCTTTGAGGGTTAGGTTAGGTTAAATTGGCTTTAGGTTAAGTTAGTGTTAGGTTAAATTAGGTTAGTTCTGGGTTGGTTAGATTTGCCACAGGTTGGGTTAAGTTAGGTTAATGTTAAGGTTAATTTAGATGAGCGTTAGATTAGGATAAGTTTGTTTAAATTAGCCACAGGTTAGATTAAGTT